TTGTTGTACTGAGTCTTATTGCATCCTGCTGTCCACTCCACTCAGTGGCTCTTTTCCCTGACTCCGGTGCTCTAGGAATCACAACTCACAAGAACTGGTTCTGAGCAGGATGAGTTTATGGGTCTTGTTACATTTAAGTAGAACTTATTGGATATGGGTATGAAATGGTTGTTAGAACTTCAGAGAAAGCAATTAATACTGCCTTATTTCTAAAAATTAATTATGTTTTCCAGTAAATCTGAAGGTCATTTAATTGAGTCAGATATTTAGAATATAGATTTATTTCCAAAGATTTTTTTCCCTTGAATTATTAGTTGCAGCTCTCTGAAAGATTCGAGATTGAGTAAAACAAAATAGGCTTTCTTTTGATGAGGTGTAGATTCTTTGTAAGAACTTGTATCTTTAAGACATTATGGCTCTTTAATATCCAGTTATAGTTTATAGCTCCCAAAAGTAGCCAATGCATTTTCTATTTGTAGCTGCCTCTATCCATGTCTTTCGGTATCAAACTTTGCTTTGCTGGCTTAGTCCAAGCAGAAGGATCAGAGAAGTTGTTTACTGTGTCCTACCAACTTGTTTTGATTTGTTTATTTATTTATTTTTGAGCTATGGTCTCATGTAGTTCAGACTGACCTCAAACCTGGTATGCATGAACCTTGAACTCTTGGTCTTTCTGCCTCTACTTCCCAAGTCCTGGGATGACAGACGTGCTAACATGCCTAGTTCATGCAGTGCTGGGAAGGAACCCCAGGCTTTGCGCATGCTAGGCAAGCACTCTACCAACTGAGCTGCATGCTCAGCCTTGCTGAGTTTCAAAAGAAAAAGATCCATTAACGTGAAAAAGGAATGAAACTGCAGCCTTTCCTTTGGCTAAATTATAGCAGCTTGACTCGTACTTGTGAATTTTTCTTGCCACTGAGTCATTGCATATAGAATTAAGAAACTTTAATTCCTTTAGAGGCTTGTTATATTAGAAAAATTGTTCCAAAGAAAGCAACAATCATGACATAGGCACATCTGGCTCTTGCAAATTATTCTTTATTAAGCTTTCATTTAATTGCATGTGCTGAAAGGTCTGTTTTTGATTACTATAATTTTTTTTATTTGTCCATCTGAATGATAGTAATGCTGGAAATTATATACAAACCACCTGTTTTTTCTCTTCTACTAATATGGCTAAGTGTGAGCTCTTTTTTCTGTAGTTGATGAACTAGGAAACATTCTATATAGAAATCTGACCATCAAGGTACTGGCTTAATCTTGATTATAAGAGGAAAAGAAAATATTTGAATGATGTTTTTAGGTACCAGCAGTGTTAAGACTGTGATATCCGACTGTGGGTTAACCACGGCAAATTACACATTCATTTATTACCACTTTCACACAAGTCCTAATACAGGGACAGTTAAGCATTAGATGTAGCAGCCTTTGAGTACAATAGAAAGAGAGCTGGTAAAAGTTTGAGTGGCATGAGAAATTCATATTTGAGTTATAACTGCTATCAGAAAAGAAAAGGGTGATATGCCATTGAAGGCACAGATAGGAGGAGAATGGTCAACAAAATGACTGATTGAAATCAATAAAAGACGGCCCCTCAGCCTGATGCATGGTAAGGCTACTGAGTCCTCCCACCATTCATTAGCAGCATACAGCCCAAGCAAGAGACTGAAAGGTTGATCTCTTGAGAAGCTGTATTTATAGGTTTTTGTCTTGGAACATCAGTCCTAATAATAGTGGCATTCAAATGAATCTTCAAGCCAAGACGAGGATTTGAGGGTATCCTTTTAAGAACAAATAAAATGACTCAGAGTAAGAGAAACAATATGTGAGTGTTGACACTTTGGATTCTCTAGGGAAAAAAGTCTACTTTCGACATCATAATTTTATAATGAAGCCTGCCATTCACTAATTGTCCCCCTACAGCTAGACTTCCCAGTCAGCTCCTGGTGATGTCACTTATGTTAGTCAATGATCACCAGAGACTTTAGAAGTCCTTCAGTGAGAAAGTGTTCAGGGGCTGGAGAGATGGCTCATTCATTAAAGGCTAGGTTCACAACCAAAAACTATAAAAGAAAGAGCTCAAACGATTAAAAGAAGAGAGAGAGAGAAGTGCAGAGATCAGAAAATAAACACAAATCCAAAACCATCATTATTATTACTCAACAGAATAGTGAGCAAGGTGCTATAAAGAGAAACAGTCAGAACAAAAAGGATCCTTAAAATCATGATGGTGGAAAGTTCATAGAAGTCTTAGAATAAGCTAATGGAAATAATCTGTCACAGAGGAGAATAAAACATTTAAGAGTGTGAGATAGAAGGAAAAACTAAAACCAGAGGGTTCATGAGGATGTCAAACATTTATTAGTGTGAGTTGATGGGGAGCCTCAGAGTGTTTCCTAAAGTTGAAGCATGTGGTTTTATACATTGGAAGAGCTAGGCTCCAGACCAGTGAGTTCAAAGTCAACAGGCAGACAGCCCTCAGGAGGAAATCTCTGCACTTGGTATACAGGAAAGAAGGGAATGCTGTCTCAAGTGAAAACTGATTTCATGCAAAGAATCTGAGATCAGAATGACATTAGACTTCCTTGGCAATAAGAGTACAAGGACAGTAAGTCATTGTCCTTGGAATTCTGGGAATAATTTTTAACTTAGAATTCTGTATCAAGGGAATATAATAATAATAAGTTTCCTGAGTCCTTTGTTCCTAAAATACTAACCTCACGGGCACTTTTCTCAGGTATTTCCTGGAGGGTATGTACTATCGAAAATATGACAATTAACTAAGAAACAGGAAGCCATGACAGACAGAAAATGGAATCAAAAATAGGAGAGACAAGGGGAATTCTGTGTAACACTGGTCTAATGAAGAGCTGGAGCAAAAGTGTAGAGAATTCTAGAAGGCATCTCTAAGAGGTGGGAAATGTATACAGTGATTAGCCATATATTCAGCTGTATTGTATTGAGGTTTCTTGGTCTTTGGGAGAGTCTGAATTCCCCATGATAGCTCTAGAAACCAGAAAGAGATAAATGAGAGATAAAATGATAAACAATACACATATTAAATCTAACAAAGAGCTAAAGAGAAGAGTTACTGCTGAATTTAATCCATATAATCCCAACTACTTGGGAGACTGAGACAGGTGGTTCCCAAGTCCAGGGTATGTCTGACTTTCAGAGTGAGTTTAAGTTTAGCCTGGACAACTTCGTGATGATAGCCTGTCTCAAAATAAAATATTGAAAGAAGTCTGGAGATATGGCTAAGTGGCATTACCTAGCAAACCCGAGGACCTAGCTTCAATCCTAGTACCAGAGAGAGGGGGCTAGGAGAGGAGAATGAAATATAGTTCTTGTCATAGCTCAGCTACGAATAGGTGCCAGAGTAGAATGAACAGTTAAGACTGTCTTAGAATCTCTGACATTAACACTAAGCTATTAGAGGGACACATGAAGGCATATATAGCTGGTGAGGTAGAAAGCTAAGCTTTTATCCTCCTGTGTGAGAACAGCATATAAACATATGCAAATGAGATGATAAGTAAGAAAAGTCAACCAAGTTGAAAGGGAATGGTCTCAAAGTAGGAGTGAGGTGGGGAGGGCAATGTGGGGATGCCAAGGTGATCAGGTATGGTTGTAGAGGCTTTACCTTATTTTAGGTGACCGTGTTGTTGTGATTTTCTTTTTATTTAAAGGCCGTAAAGTAATATTGAATTTATTCAATAATGAATAACATTATTTTGATAAAAGTTAAAGTTATCTAAAAGTGACATTGGCCCATATTTCAATCTTGAGTCTACATTCATCTAATTCAATATACTTAATGTTGATCATTATAAGATGAATAGTATCAGATTGTCTGTTTACTTTGTCTCCAGAAGAGGAGTGTTGAGTTAAGAGCTGTGGGGCTGCGTCCCCAGCACCCAGCCACCCACACAGCTAGCTTTACCCGAAATAATTACACGGAAACTGTATTCTTTTAAACACCGCTTGGCCCATTATATCTAGTGTTTTCTCAGCTAACTCTCGCACCTGGACTAGCCCATTTTTTATAATCTGTGTAGCCCATGAGCTGGCTTACCAGGAATGATCTTAACCTGCGTCTGCCTGGAGTGGGAGAATCATGGCGACTCCTTGACTCAGCTTCTTTCTCCCCGCATTCTGTTCTGTTTACTCCGCCTACCTATGTTTTAACCTATGAGGGCCAGCCAAGCAGTTTCTTTATTGCTTAACCAATGAAATCAACAGATTGATATACGACACTCCCACATCAGAGGAGCACTTGTAAGAGGGAGCAGAGGATGGATAAGATAGCAAGATAGCAAGTACTTAGAAAGGACCCGAGAAACAGCAGTTGAAACAGAGGGAGATAAGCCCAGAGTCCCAATCCAAAGGAGAACTTGGGGAGACACCAGCTGAGCTGTTCTAGCCATAAAGGGGACACTAGCTTGATTTTTTTGTTTCTATGACTTCCAATCTGGCTGTACCCTGTCAATGGTCATTAAATACTGCCAAGAGAAAAGACTGAGAGGGAGGTGGCTGCTGGTAGACTCTAGGGGCTTAGGGGCAGCACTGATCTTCAAGGATCTGCAACCCCAGAGAAGTATGGGAAGATCAAGGACACTCAAGGAAATTCGGTTCAGTTTCTTAGTTCACAAGTGGACACGCCAGATATTAAAGAACATTATATAGTGATTTCAGCCTCTTAGAAGGGATCTCATAGGCTGGTGTGCCAAACTCCTTTTAGTACAATTGAAGGAACCAAGTTCTCGAGAGACCAGTCTTGTCCCAGCCAATGGTGTCATTGCTGGAACACTTACAGTACCATGCTTCTCATTCTAGTCCTCTTCCTTTCTGAGTTACTTGATTTTTCTTATTTTCCTCTTTAAAAAAGTGAGAGAGGAATGCAGGGTTGTGAGAGATGCTATCTGGCAGCACGGTAAGTTTTCCTGAGCCTGTCCCAGCCGCGTTTAATGAGACCGATGGTCGTCTTCTCTGTTTTGCAGCAGCTCTATGCCGCTCAGCTGGCCAGCATGCAGGTGTCACCTGGAGCAAAGATGCCATCAACTCCACAGCCACCAAACACAGCAGGGGCGGTCTCACCTACTGGGATGAAAAATGACAAGAGAGGGACCAGCCCTGTAACTCAAGTTAAGGTACTTGCTTTGCAGGATTATGGAAATGGTTTGGAAAATAGCTTTGTAAGAAAGGTGGTGAAGCAGGCTATGCTGGGAGTAAGCAGCCCTCTTTATGAGGAACGCCATGAGTGAGCATTGAGAAACAGGTGCTTGCCTTTTGATAACAATAGTGCTATATTTTGAGATCCTACCCTAACTCCAAAAACTCACTCCTCAAAAAAATCTCTCCCTTCAGAGTCTGGATTTCATTTTTTAGTGTTCACTGGCAGGAATGGCTGTGCTTTTATTGTCAGTCTTTGTCACAGACCTGCAACACTTATCCACATTCCTTAAACAGGTGGGGAGCCCACTCAGCGTATCAGAGTATGACCTAGGATCCCTGAGAGGATCAAAGGGGATCTAATGCTGGATTTGGCGTAGCTTTGTGGCGCTCTGTTCTTCAGAACTGGCTGCAAAGTGGTGCTGAGGAATATCAATGGCTGGCGGTGCTTTTGACCATGTCATTACGACAGGATAAATGGGCTTTCACAGTTATGGGTAGAGTGTTGATACATGTTTTTCTTAACTGATTTCCAGTGTCCTCAAACTGGTCCCCTGGGGGCGGGGGTACTTGGTGACAAGGGCTATGATCAGACACTTCAAATCTGGTCCCTTCACAGTACAAGTTGCTTGGGGGGATTGTTTCTGCTTCCTATATTGAATTAATAAATTCACACAGTTTGGAGAAGCAGTTGCTGTATGTAAATTGACTGTGAACTTGGAGAAGTGTGCTAAGTGTGAATGCATGGTTGTAATTTTGCAGAAGTACTGCATGTAGGGAGTTTGGGCAGTTATTGAATCTTCACACAGCAAACAGTTGAGAGTAACCGATATCACTAGTGGGTGCTCTGCAGTCACTGAAGCTGCTTGATTTTAGTAAATCGCAGATAGCAATATTGAGATTTCAGAAAGTCTGCAAAAATAATGGACTCCAAGTATTGAAGTCTAAACACATGAGCATCCTCCAGACGACCCGTCTGTGCTCCATTTACGAATATGAACTTAAAGATTCTCTAGAGAAACAGGGTGAAATTACACTTAATTGTTAGAAATCTTGAGCTGTCACAATAACACAGGAATTGTAAGTTTGTAGAAATAGATTATTTTATATTCCAAAAACCTATTTGTGAATCCAAATCATAGCACAGCAAGCAGCTCAACCCAAGGACTAAGTCTCTTCATAGTTGTCAGAGAAAGAGTATGTGAAACGCCAGCAACTCGGGCTATTTGGGTATTAAATATTTTAACATGAAAAAGTCATTTTGTAATTTGAGTTGGCCAACTGGAACTGTACCAAACCAAGCCTCTACTGGATGAGTAAATGTTCCCTGGCTAAATTCAAGATTCTATCTGCTTTTACCATTCCAGCTCTGTGGCCAACAGATTTTATTACTCACTTGACCACATGCAAATGCTTAGGCATAAGAGTTCTGTATGGTTTGACTTGACAGTATTTTATGTTAGTAACAAAGGAGCCATTTCTTATACTTCTTAGATCATATATGTGTGAGCAGAAATATATAAACCAAGACATAAAGTGAGCATTTAAATTGAATATTCCTATTACTGAAGAACTTCTGGAAGTAAACTCAGTCTACTAACTGAGGAGATTTCTTCACCCAAATCCGTCGTGGTCCTCACTCTAGCCATTTTCCCTCTATAGAGAATGGTCATGCACGGTAGAGTGAAATATTGCAGGGCAGTGTTTGCTGAAGTTAATGAGATAAACACAGGGTTTCATCTGTTAAAAGTCTGTCACTGTAATCTGGGAGTTGATAATATTATGGGCCTTACATGAGGCCATATGTTCTCTATCATGTAATGAGCATTCTATAAATGGTGGTGGTAGTGGGGATCCTCACAGTGGTCATGAAGAAGCAGAAGTAGGGGATGGAAGTGTCTGGTTACATAGTTCCACAATGAGAAAGATCCAGAATTATTGAGCTGGACGGTGAGTATCACCTATCAGCTCTACATACAGCAAAAGCCTTCTCAACCTGGCAAGGCATTCTTTGTCCCTGCAGCCTTTCCCCTGACAAACATTTTGTGTTATCTTAGACTGGGTGGAGGGGTATATAATTAACCCTGTCAAAACTGTCTCAAAATTTCATGATCTTACATAGAAAGAACATAAATGTTTTCTCAGATTATATATTTTAGACTGATGACATGGTCTTTGTCAATTTTTTCCAGCTTTTAGTAGAGTGATTTGCCTGCATCTTAGCCACCTCTAAGTTTTTTCTTATCTTATCTGTTAGCTCTATCATCCGTGTCCATTTTGAAATTGGATTTTTTCTTCTTTATTCGTATTTTCATGTTTCTGTGTAAGCCCATCGTTATTAAATAGATGCTACACATTTTGAATTCCACAGTGTTGACTGTTAAAGTGTTTGCATCTTTTTAAATATCAGAAATCTACTGAGACACAGAACCCCTGGATCCTCTTTGGATATACTTTTCATATTTGTTCGTCAGGTTCAGAACAACCAAGAATCTCAGGGTAGTGTATCCCCATCATGAGGCAGCAACTTCCTGGACACTTTACTTAATGCCCTGTATGTGTGTCAAAGGACCGTTGCACTGTGTTCTTGGGAGAGTAAGCCATTCTCAGTCCTTCATGAATGTGCAGTCATTTGCCTACTCTCTTCTTCACTCTCCCCACACTCAAGTTGCCTCCTCATACACACTTACTGATCAGCCCTAAACTAAACCTGCAGTCCAATCTTTTGCAGCTTTGTAGCATTCTCTCTCTTTCTCTGCAGATCTGACCTTGCTGGTACCCTGCCTCAAAAGTTCTGCCTACATTAACATTTATAACCTCTGAACTCTCAACTCAGGGAGGCTGCCAAGCTACCTGTACCATTTACCAACAACTCCTTCTCCATAGTAACGTGGACCAGTCTAGAATTCACTTATTTCAGAAATTGCTGTCCCAGGATCTTAGCATCGATGTCTGAAGAGCACTGCCTAATAATCAGATCCTGTCTGGAGGGTGGGTCTTTAACCTCAAAAGTAAACCCAATCCTGTCCCTCTAACATGATTATAATAGAGAGCATTTGACATTAATTATGAGTTATAAGAAATAAGTTAGAGATATTAAAACTGAAAAGGGTGTTATAAACTCCATATTTTCAAGGAAATTGAAGAAAACATCAATAGAGTAAGACAAGGCACAGAAAACGTAACTAGTTGCCTACAAGTGATAAGTGCAGCACTTTAGATGGGATTAATGGCAGTTTCTACACCTGTAGAAGGGAAAAAGCAGTGAGAGAGAAGTAATAGGACAGAACTCTGCAAGCTGAAACACAGGAAAGACGGTCCCGGAATGGCACCGGAAAGGGTTTGTCTAGCACGTGCAACTAGAGGAAAGAATTGGATTTATGTTTGAAGAAATAATAGCTGAACATTTCTTTAACTTGACAAAAACTCTAAACTCAGACATTTTAGAAGTTTAGCAAACCCCAAATGAAGGCAGCATAGAGAATATGAACCAAACAGCATATAAAGTGCTATGATTCCAATATTCACGAAGGAAGAGACTAGTTTAAATATCCTTTGAATTAAGGGCAAAAAGAAGCAATTTAGTTTAGTACATCAGATAATTTTGACATTCATAGTGGATGTAATCTTGTTTCCCCAGAACATGTCCTCTTCTAAATATAAAGTGCATTGCATCACAGATGGGACAGAGCACTTGTTTCATATTAATACCAAACAAACCAAAACAAACAACAACATAGACCATCACTACATTAATATACAAATGATTTTTCCTCTGCTCATTTGGTAGAAAGGGAGGTGGAGATTTGTAGTCCAATAAATTAGACTCAAATTCTTTTCTCCTTCGATGGCCTTGGGAAGATGCTTTTCATTGTTCTGATTTTCACCTTCCGGTTTGTAAAGTCTGAGTAGTCTAGCCCATCCTCCTGGTGGCATCGGTGGCTGAGTGGGCTAAAGCAATGAGGGCCTGGTGTGATGCTTGGTGCATGGCCACCTCTGCGCATGGCCCTGCTCTCTGTCCCTGCTCTCCCTCTCGCCTTTCCTCCTCCAGTGCTGTTTTCTGGCACGTCTGTTGATTGACATCCCGTAGTATATGGCCATCTTTTTATAGATGGAGAAATAAAGCCTCAGTGAGCTCACATGTTAACCACGGGAGAGAATGTTCTGTTACCAGATGCCGTTGTGTATTTTCAATAATGTCATTGAAAGCAGGCTCTCTGTGCCCTCCCAGTGACAAAACAGAATCTGACATTTGCTGATGATTTTGCTTCAGAATGCAATAATGTAGATCTTAACATTGAACCTTTAAATCACATACTCATATCCATATTTCTGAAATGATTATTATCTGCAGCTCTTTGATGGTAGAATAAATGAGACAAAATGAAAAAAAGTTGCTTAAGTTTCGAGTCACTGGCTATCCTAGAGTTGGAAATGGAAGCCAGAGATGGAAATACTGGGTTCAGTGTGGAGGGATATGGTCTTAAAATAGACATTCCATAAATATATGTAGCAAAGATTGTAACAAGACATCACTTTAAACATGAAAAATAAATTGCATATAGCATAGCATGTAAAACATAATTATAATGTATGCTTGCTCTTCACAAAAATTAATTTTAAACATGAATAGAGACCAGAATATAAACCACGAGAGCACCCACACCCAGAAAGCCACATAGAAGCCTGTGGTGTGGCATGGGACTCTGAGGGCAGGGACCCTGGAGAGCAAAAAAAGACTCTCCATGTTTCCATTCTAAAGTACTTGCAATTGTTTGATTTAAAATATATATTAAAAAATTAGCTGCAGGGACTATTTATAGTCACAGGAACTTTTCAGAGAGACGAACACAAAAGCACTACAGAGCTACTGAAATTTTAAATAATTCTTTGTAAATGCCCTAGGTTAATTTAGATCCCTGAAAACACATTAGGAAATTAAGCTGTAATGTGAGCTAATTCAGATTTTAATTTGGCAAAAAGAATGATCCAACTACACAGTTAATGTAAATAGAAGCATAACACAGGGAAATTAATGAGGTTCCTTCCGATGAATCTTCAAGGAGGTAGATAATTAGCTTCTTTTGTTATTATTGTAGGAGAACGTGGCATTGTCTCAGAGGTGTAAAATAACTGTGGCTTACTAAGTGATAATGTGCTTCATTTGTCTTTTTTAAAATAATTATTTATGTTAAACTCTTGTAGGATGAAACAACAGCCCAGCCACTGAATCTCTCATCGCGGCCTAAGACAGCAGAGCCTGTGAAGTCCCCAACATCTCCCACCCAGAGCCTCTTCCCAGCCAGCAAAACCAGCCCTGTCAACCTTCCGAACAAGAGCAGCGTCCCCAGCCCCATTGGAGGGAGCCTGGGGAGAGGATCCTCTCTAGGTAAATGGGAAAGTCCACTTCAGGAAGGGACCCATGACCTAGAACAGAAGCACGCTGGCCAGGATGCCTTGCCCTTGGGCCCTGTGTGCTCTTTGGGAAGGATAGTGATATTCTTTCCACCGAACCAGAACCCAACTTGGTATCTTGGGTGACTAGAACTTTTGAAAAATGTCTCAAATCCTGCTAGGATCCATTTTTTTTGAGATGATAATGGATCCTGGCCATTAGACAAGTAAGGAGGTGGTCTTAATTTTATCAAGATTTTGCCTAAAAGTAATTCTGTAAGGACATCAAGAACTGGCTTCATTCAGGAAGCCATGTCACAAGGTGCCTTTTCCTTCTTGCTTTTTCAAGACTCTAGAGGTTTTCTCACAGCTGTTTGAAATCGTGGAGCAGAAGCATGGGTTTTACAACAGGACATGCCTCAACCAAAAACCTTCACTGACTGGTGTTGTGGCTCTGGACTTTAGTATTCCCTAAACCCTACACCTACATGGGGAAGAGTATTGTGTAAGCCAGAAGAGAATAGTCTGCCTGACAAGGGTCTTGCAGTGTCCAGCACATCGGAGCTCTATTTTGAAAGACTAGGATAGGTGAATCCCAACACATTCATGTCCTTGGGTAGAATGAAGCAATAGGCAAGAAAACATTTGTCAGCAGGAACAAACCAAATGCATTAAGGATGTTGTTACCGGACTCTTCTTGTCCCTTGCTTTCCAAATAAAGGTAGTGAGATTCAAAGAGGTTGGGAATCCGACCCACCATTTCTTTACCATGTTCCCCTCCTTATGTTATCTCCTCATGGAGCCTCTTGCTTATTATGATTGGACACGGTGATGTGTGGGTAGACCCACTACATCTCTTTTTATCTAGTCTTCTGCTTTATTCATTTCACTTGACTTTACAAGTTAGACAACTTAGTTCTTACTGGGAGAATGCTGAGCTCCAGACCTGGGCTGTGAAATAGCAGAATCAGGACAGATACCCAGATCCTGCTGCTCTCAGGAAGCTCCCAGGTCGAGGTGTGCTCGACTGGGCTGAGGGTGAGATGCGGTGCCCTCTCTGACACTTGGGGTGTTAGGATAGGATGTGAGCAACAGCCTGTTCTGACTTCCAGTCAGGCTTGCCGCATAGGAGTCACAGCTTTTCACTCCCTGCCAGGGAAGCTCGGTGAGAAAAGAAGAGGTGCATGCCTGTACCATTGCTGCCAACTGCTTCTTTTGGCTGACATCTTGGGAGTAGGAAGATGAGAACAAACAAAGTCAACAGAGGAAAACTAGCCTGCCTCTTGAAGTGGCCCTTGTGCAGTGCACTTCCACATTCTGTCTGGAAGGCACTTGTTCCTGGGCTGCTCATCTGCAAGGAGGGAAGGAGCTCCTTTGCCACAGGCCCTGCTCCTGTCAGCAGCAGAGAAGCCGTCTTAGGTCGGGGTGGGGGAGGCCCAGAGTGAAAGTGGCTGCCGCTAGAGCAGTCTCTGCACAGAATATTGCACGAAGGTGGCCCTTTTATCCAGAAAAAAAGCTTAATATCCTATAAAGGAACTGACTTTTAAAAACATTTTCATAGATAGTTTCTGGAACTTCACAAATCACACAGATATGCACATGTGTTGTGCATACAAGGTGTGTGGCATGAGCTTGATTGTAGAGTAGTTTCCCTGTTTCTCTGTCTGTGTGAGGTGTCTGCATATATGCATACATGCCTGTCACACCCATGTATGAGGAAATAGGAAGGACCTTACACAAGTAGATAATGTCAAATACACAACAGCTGAAATCTAACAGTAATCAAATAATTGGCCTCTTTTGTCTAAAAATGGAAAAACTGATTCAAAGTATTCAATTAAGCCGAGTAAAGCACAAGGCACAGAGGAAAATTAGTTTCTATTCCTTTTTTCCCCTCTGGGTTACATGGAATATAATGGAAGAAAATGTTTATTCTTAGTTGATTTGAGGGTTTGTGCTCACGTGAAAGCCATTGCCACACATACTGCTTCGCTGTATGTCAGGATTGGGGGTGGGAGGAGAGGCTGGGAGCAGTGGGTGTCCGAGCTAGGGATGGGGCAGCGTTGCCATCCTCTTGGTAAACAACCGAGGCAGCGTGATAAGAAGAATGCTTCATTAACCAGCCGGCTCTGGGAGAAAGGAGCGTGTGGTGTGCTCCTTCCCACCCCCTCACTTCTGCGATGGACACAAAACACACACATACAGATGTCACCATAACACCCCTGTACCCTCACAGGTCTCATCCTGTTAGCTTTCAAACTCTTCCCCTATGCATAACACACCAAATACAAGAGTGTCTGGACAGAAATCCCAGCCATCTCTCTGCCTTCTTCCCTCTTTGTTCCTCCCCCACCTATCAGGAAAGATTGTACACAAAGAATAGACACATAGAAAGCTAGGAAGGGGATGTAGGAGCATTGATAACTGGAGGCACAAGTGGCAAATACTTCCCCTGTGCATGCAAGATTAGAACTTAGGACCAGTCATCTGTGAGAGGGTGCGGGACAGCCTACCAGCCTGGAGGGCCAGGGTACCTCCATGGCCTAGCTGTACCCTAAGCCAATACAGCTTGCTTCACTAGGCTTTCTGTACTCTAACTAGCGTTGTAGTTTTCATAAAAACAAATGTGCCCCCTCCTTGTCCAGAGAATACAGTTTTCCCCTGGGGAGTGGGTCACAGTCAGCACTCGAGGGACTGTCCCCACACACCTCTAATAACACACCCTATGTATGCAGATATCCTGTCCAGTCTCAACTCTCCTGCCCTGTTTGGGGACCAGGACACAGTGATGAAAGCCATTCAGGAGGCTCGGAAGATGCGAGAGCAGATCCAGCGGGAGCAGCAACAGCAGCCACACGGGGTCGATGGGAAACTGTCTTCCATGAACAATATGGGGCTGAGCAACTGCAGGAATGAGAAGGTAACCCTGCATCCCTCCCCACTCCATAGCAGGCCCATGGGGTCACTCTCATCTCTCTTTAGGCTCCTGGCTCTTACCAGTGATCTGGGTTTCCAGCTGGAGGGCCGCCTTGCCATTTACTCAGATCTGCTCTGTGTCACATGCTCACATTACTGCTGGCTGGCGCTTAGGTTGCCTCCCAGGTACTCAACCTACCTGCCTGTTGGTGTCTCTCTGTCCCAGGCTGCACTATTTAGGGACTTTATTGCAAAGATTGTAAATTGTATAGTTGGAATGAGAATAGAATGTAACAATATTTAAAAGGATACACAGTAACGGTTAAGTGAATTGTGGCTCACCATTAAATTTAATGCTACGCTTCCTATCCAAAAGTAAAAAACAAAACAAGCAAATTTCAAACTGCAATTAATTTTCATCATTTTGATTCAGCAAAACAATTTATCAGGTGCTTGTTCTGGGATAGATGCATACAGAAGTAAGGAAATCTGGAGTGAATGCCAGAACTAAACAGCATACACACCAGTAGGGGACAGAGACTGTGGAGAAGGCTGTGTCAGTACATGGCTGGGAACCAAAGGGAAATAAAAGCAAGTTAAAGGGAAGAAACCAGCTTAGGGCAGTTATTTCAGAAGTGGCAATACGGACTGTCTGGATATGACTCAGGATAGAGACCTGAATGAAGTCATGGTGCGGCTGCAGGAGGATCAGAGTGGAGGCACTCCAGACAGGTAGAGCTATGCAAGCACGGGCCAGTGTGGCCAGAAAGTCACAAGAAAGGGGATAGCTGAGAACATGAGGTAGAAGTCACTGCCTGGTGGACTCTGAGAAGCCTCTTCATTTCATCCCGCACTGGATCTCTCCAGTGTGTGAATGAGATTTCATTGACATTGAAGAAGAGTGGGAAAGGGGGACTGGGAGGAGTGCACCTGGCAGGACAGCTCATTCATTCTTTTATACACAAATACTTGCCCGGCACTAAACTGTAAGAAAATGCTTATTTATTTATGTTTAAATATGGGGCTATTGGAGAGGGACAGATGAATATTGTAACAGACAATAGTAGTAGCTGTTAATAAAATGTTAAAAACACTTACATGTGTTTATTTAGTGAACTAAAACTGCAGGCTGCTGGGCTCAGGCCAGGAGTCTCCCCTTTGTTTCAGTCCTGGCTAACTGTAGTGAGGACACGGTGGCAGAGTGTGCACAGTAAGATAAAAGCTTGTGGTTTCCGCAGTTCCCCACAGGGCTTTTCTATTTGCTCTTGAAGAAGCTGGGAGGTGTGCAGTGCTATTTGTGTTCCTGTGTGGCAGGACCGTCTGGAAGCACAGGTGTAATCCTTTCCTAAGTGACTACACACTGGCTTGCCTAGAGAAGCAGGGACTTAAGCTGTGCGGCTCTGGAGGCCAGTCTGCAGGCGAGGTGTTACAGTCATGCTCTCTGCAGTTCTCAAGGAGGGCCAAGCTCTCCTCTTCCTGCCTTCTAATTGTTACAAGAACCCTGGCTTACTTCTGCCTTCTCCTGATTTCCTCTTGTCTTTCCTACTTGCCTTCTGTCTGTGTGTCTGCTACCTAACCCATCTAATCTGTTGTGACCTTACTCTAACTCGATGACATCTATAAAACTCTATTTCAAAACAAGCTCAAATTCACAATTGCATAAAGTTAAGACTTTTCTGTTAAGGATACAATATGACCCATTACAAGATCTGCACAACTATAGCTCATTCCCAAGCTTTTGACCATACTGCTGTACTCTTGGGGCATACTAGGAGACTAGGGGTGCAGGGTAGGATGGGGTTGGTAATAGGATGGGACACTCTAAGATTCATATGGACAGAGAGAGATGTCTTCCCAAAGCCAAGTAAAGATGTGATTTTCCCTCCATTCCCCTGTCCTATGACTGCCATTAGCATCCTACAGGATGTGGAACATCATATATAAACGTAGGTGCACACACATACCTATAGGGTAGTAAATAAAAAATTAATGTCTTACACTATATGTAGTTATTTACTATTATCATTTGGAGCCAAAGGTCAAAAGTGGACACTGTACACTTCAAATTCCAAAGATTAATTTTTATTTCCCATTGACTTTTCTCAATTCATTTGTGAGGAAGGAAGAAATCTGAAGCTAAAAATGAAAAAAAAAACCACTTTATTTTTCCCATAGAAGGCATGAGAGAAAAAACGAGAAGTAAGGTTGACTTTTAACACATTGGTAAATTATAATCTAACCTACAATATATTGAAGAGAACTGAGTCCCTGAAGGTAAGCTGCAAAGTGGTTTCTACAGAACAGGAAGCGGTGTCCCTAGTTGAGGGAGTCATTGTGTCAGTAGATACAGTTCCTGGGGTTGGATGTGAGACACGGAAAAGCCCGTGCTCTTTAGGAATGCTGTATGTGTTTATCAGCTCTTCTCAGAGGATCTCGAGCCTCCTAAACAAGATCGCTGTTTGAGGTGATTGGCGTGGGTGTGTGGGCCTTATTGGAAGATCTCCGTGTTTGCCAGGCTAGTTGGGCTAGTTGCAATTAGCGGAATGTATGGAGAGCAGTACTTCAGAGCCCCGTGAGGGAGGCAGCTTCAGCTCTTACCATGCAGAGCTCCATCCTAAAGTTGTGACTTTCCTTCCTTAAGAACATCGCTATTTCTTCTCACTTTTTCTTCCAAGTCAAAGGTTAAGTATATAATATGCAGTAAGACTAAGAAGTCGATTGGGACAAATCCAGTTTGCTATCTGGCTTCAAAATTGCCCAGCTTTGAATTGCTGCCCCAGTTTTCCTTAACTATAAAGACCCGTAAACTGTAAAATAGACATGGTAATTTGTTTCTTGGAACCCATGTCACAGTTTTAGGTAAGTTTCATAGCATTGCTATCACGGCCTTATCATTTATTAAACACACTTCTCTCTTTTACTTAAACCTTCTTTACAGAAGAACATAGCACACACCTGAGTTCCCTGGGAAGCGGGCTACCCACTGGATGTTAGTGGCAGGGGTGTGTGGGGGGGTACTCTCCAAAATCGGCATCTGTTGAAGGGACAGGGAAAAGCAGGACTGGGTGAGGAAATGGTGCACTGTGCCTCCACCAGCAATCCCTTCACAAGCTTCAGGACCCATCGTTAGTGAAAATTGCTCCAAATTTCAAGAGGGACATTAGTTTTGCATACTCATGCCAATCAGTACTTGGATAAAAAAAGCTACCCTGAAAAGAGGACTTGATCTTGTCTGAGGTGACTGTCTTTGGCTGAAGCAAGACCAGATAGAAGAGAGAGAACCTTCCAGTGCTGAAGGGGATGGGGCAGCACATCCCAGTGTCAACCATTGTCTGTTACGTTCATCACACTAGGTGTGAGTAAACAGACTCTGTATATATAACCACTGTGGGCTAGTGAACAGACACAGGAAAGCTGTGTTTTTATCACACACACAGGCTCATGTGTGTCCATATGAATATATATTTACCCATGATCTGTTTCACTTTATTGAGCAAATCTTTATTTTGCCACTTTAGTATGAAACATCACTGACTTGATGGGCCAGAACGACGCCAGTGGAGATGCTCTGGGTGGCTGTTGCAGGGTGTGCAGGGTCTGCTAAATACTTAGATTGTGTGGACAATAGACTGTGACAGCACCTCAGGGTCTTTCATCTGTGCCCTCATCTCCATGAGCCTCTGCACACACACTGTGAATGTCCTGCCAGCAGAAGGCTGAGTCTCATCTGTCAGTTAGCTTTTCCCACCAAGAACACCAGCCGGCCGCATCTGTGCTGGAGCACCAGTGCAATTAGATCATGTGATCATATTATGGTGAATTCCTTACCATATTGTATTGTTCTGACAATTCTAAGTATTTTTGTCATGACAATCCACCACAGAATTTCAGTCACACTACTTATAAATGTCATGGAGCTAAGCTCAGGGCATCTGACTAAGAGAGAGGTGAGTCAGGGTAGCCTTCTTCATGAATGGTCTGTGGTATGTTTGAAGTGTGTGTGTGTGTGTGTGTGTGTGTGTGTGTGTGTGTGTGTACTCTGTGGTTGGATACAAAATTCATGTCAGGTCACAGATCTCAGAAGTGGGCAGAATGTGCAGGCATACAGATGTGGCCTTGGCCACCATTCCCTCAGGGAATCGCTTGAGAAAGATCCTGACCCTCGGGAGATGTCCAAATGAGCATAGTGGCAAAGGACTGCACTTACCTGTGTCTGAAGTACAATGGCTGCAACTGGAGCTGCAGTGTGGGCGGGTGGAGCTTACTGCTAGAGAGCTTGCTCTGCGGGTTCACAGTGCCCGGTCTGCCAAAATCAGAGCACATCAGACCATTCAGCCACCACCACCAAAACACAAGGGTATTGGAGTCAGCATTCCATCCATCTGGTGCCGTGACTACTGGTGACAGAAGAGAAATGGGCCCAGTGAAAGGAAGGGGCTTACTGACTGTCAGCGACTTACAGCAGAAACAGAGTTAAGTCTTGGTGTTCCTCATCCAGGTTACTCTTTCCACAGAGAGAACAGTATCAGATTTAGTTAGCAACTTTCTTTGATACTTTAAGCCTTGGGCATATGAAACAACTTTTGCCCTGACCGTCTCAAACCTTTGATGGAATAGGTAAAAGCTATATATAGTGTAAAGAACCATGAACTTCCTGCTTTCCATACAGATGCTGATTTCTGTCTCCACGGTGCCTTGTTCCTGTTACTCTGGATTCATAATGGAAGGTTGAGTGGTGTGGACATAGAAACAGAAATGGCTAGGTGAGGCCACAAATAGATGAGAGAGAGCCTGGCTCTTGGTGTGGACTCACCATGGGTCTCTGTTCTGTCCATGGTGTTTTCTGTCTGTCTTACCTAAGTATGTCATCTTACCTTTGTGAGTTTCAATGATCAGGGCTATGAGATGAAGGTGGGACTCATTTCCCTGGAAGGCTGTTTGAGGATGAGTCTAACAATCATTGCATGTGGAAAACGTTCTTTTGGTATTGACTTCTCTCTTACT